ACGCTCAGTTGCGCGTCAGACACGACGAAGATGTAGCAGTTTATCTTGTCAGCATCCTGCGCATCGGTGTTTTTGGTGCGCTTGATCTCCAATGTTATGCCATCCTGCGTATTTACTAGACGTAAACCCTGACCATGTAGGTCTTCGTCGTTAATGGTGCGCATGTCAATCCACAGCGCATACTTATCATTAAAGAATTCCTCAGGGCTAATTTGGTCGCCAAACTTACGCTTTGCCTCCCTGTACACGTCTGCGGGCTTTATTCCCTGAGAGTAGACCTTGTTTGGAACCCCGTTAATATTCACGCCGACGTTAGTAATGCTGGGGTTGTGAAAGGCCTCGGAGTCGCGCTTGCCGGCCTCATAGGGTTTGGCAAACACCAGCATCAACCCCGTGAGACTTCTTCGGGGGAGGTTAATGCTTTGGTTGATAACCTCATCCGTCTTATCCAAGAAGCTAAATGTCTTATACATCACTACGTGGTCGTAAAGGAATGCCTATCCGGCACTGTATTCCATGCCAGCGCTACGTGCCAGATCTTCGCTGTACACGGTCTCGTACTGCAGCTCTAAGTTGGTGATAGAATAGGGATCCACGGCTCCACTGATTGCGCTGTCCATGCCTCCTATGACATTTGTAGTGTCTGCCAAGGTTACTTCAAACTGTAACTCGGATACCTGTCTGGGGTAGTACACGCCATGACTCGTAATCACTTCGAAATCCAAAGGGATAACGTACTTGCTACCATAGGCGGTCTTCACCCTCGTGGCATCTGCTACTGCGGTTGCTCCACTGGAGTCCGTAGGCGCGGGGCTAGTATCGCTGCGAAGCTTACGAAGAATGACGCTTCCAATTCCCTGCTCTATCTTTTGTGCACGGTTAAAGGCTGTTAGCCACAGATCCTTATACGTGGTATACAAATCGTACCTATTCAAATCCAAGAGGGATTCCCCTGCGAACTTGATTCTCATCTTAGAAACGAGGTTCCTACCCACGTTATTGACGGTATAGCGCTTGTCCTTGGTGCTTGGTTGTATTGCTAGGTCAAACCTTAGCGCCAGGGTACCAGGAACCAATACTAGGTTATCTGTTAGGCGGGGTACGCCTACGTACAG